AGGTGGAAAATGGCCGCGGATCATGTGTCAGGGCGGAAAAATGGCCGCGGATCACATGTCAGGGGAGAAAAAATGGCCACGGACCACGTGTCAGGGGCAGAAAAATGGCCGCGGACCACGTGTCAGGGGCAGAAAAATGGCCGCGGACCCCGTGTCCGGGTCGTAAAATGGCCGCGGACCATGTGTCACGGGCGGGAAAATGGCCGCGAACTGTGTCACGGGAGGGAAAATGGCCGCAGATCCTGTTCGTGACCCGATCCGGCGTTCATGAACGGAGGCAAAATTTTGCGACCGGAGTTGTTCGTGACCCGAATTGGTTGTGAACAGAAGCGTTCGTGACCCGAGGCACCACTGTATTAAAAAAACTAGCTTTGAATCATTGCAATAGGTCAAGCTTTAGAAAAAACAGAAGTGGGTGTGCTAATTTATTTGTTGTAGCACTCCAAGACCCTTTTATATTTAGTATTAATCTCTTAAATTCAAACTTTTTGATGGCTTATTTTTTTAAAAAATTGGAATATGTACTATTATACAAGTTCTATCCAAGCAGAATCAGGATTCAAGCACGATTAGGAAAGTGATATAAATGAATAAGGGTACTGTTTCTTAGATCTCATGGCCTATTATCAGACTTTTTTCTTTTTTTTTTTAGCCACCACTGGTTCTTTTTACCAACATAAACCGTAGTTTGCAGATAAACTACTGCAGGAAACAAATCTGACACTGAGGGACTGGTGACCTGTATTACTCTATCAATAACTATCAGGCATTTAAGAACCAACAAACTTTATTGAACAATATATATTACATGTACTATTCCAGAACTGACAAGCAGAAATTAATTTCATCAATAAAGTAGAGATGGTGCTCCCTTCCAGCCTGTGGAATCTGCCCATGAGCCTCATGCAAGCTGCGTTGGAACAAATGGCAAGTGTCAACAAGCATTCTTAGCAAATTGCTCCTGGATCATGAATTAAAGCGCCACAAGCAAGCCAGCATGGGATGTGTTCTGCTTCCACCAACTCCCCCACATGGACTCAACACAAAAACAACATTGCACACCTTGCAATTGTTCTTTATTCCACTGAACAAGCACAGATGTACAAACATACCTCCCACCCCTCCCCACAAAGGAAAAAGAAACAGTTTTGTCTGATAATGTAGATTAATCTACTGATTACAGGAGCCCAGAACCTTTCTTTAAGAATCATGTTTTCCTGTTTATATGAAACAATTCTCTAATATTTTAGAATAGTTGCACCATGTGAACCCTCAGTTCTATGGATGTGCTTTATAGAAAAGATTGGCTGTGGGCTTTTGGGAACACAGTTGTCCCTGGCATTGTTCAAGACAGGCCTTCCCTTCGTGCATGGCTGATATTTGACTGTGAAGTTTTGAAATAGGAGTATCAAGCAGCCCTTCTGAAAAGAGAGGAGAAAAGTAGAACTCATATAATGTACTTTTAATCAGAAAGCAGTTTTCTAGTAAATTTTGGTTTGTTTTGAAAAAAAAAATTATAGAGATTTGTCATTCTTATCTCATGGATACTGAACTGTTGTGAAGGATAGCAACTTGGCAAAAAACTGTATAGTTTTATGCGCGCTATAATAATTTCAAACTGAAGGTTGTTCAAGCCTCTGTTTCTTTTTTACCCATTAAAGTAATCTGATTAGCAGAGTTGCTATACTTATCTATACTAAATTATTAAAACAATAACCATAGATTCTCATAAAAGTCAATTTCTTAGTTCATAGGGTGCTAGCTGAAACATTTTCAAGACACATCCTAGATAAAGTTATGGCCTCTGGTTGACTGTTCTTTCGTTATGAAGATTTCTAAGATGTTTCTTAGTATATAGAAATGTCTATCATTTTGAGAGAGAGAACATCTTCAGAGCTTGGGAAGGATTACACCCTCCATTTTAGAAGAGTTAGCAGGTGTGTGAATGAGAAAGAAAAAGGTATTACACTTTTGGAGTGATTAGAGAGTCGTTGGGAAACATGTATGGGAAAATGACTGTTTTTTGTGGCAGACCTTTCTGCTGTTCACTTCCATTCTCTACTTATATATTTATAAATAAAAACATCATATATACAGTATCCGATGATCTCATAGGGATAGCATTTTGCTATAGCTTGAGGAAGTGGAGTAGTACAGTGCATCTTTCAGAAAAAGATGTATGGTCTCAGTGTACTCGGTTAAGCAAGCTGAACATAAAAGTTTGGCTTTTCCTGCCTCTCTACCCCTCCAGTTTGGGCAAAGTAGTCCAGACATCTCCCTATTGAATGCTGGGGTATATACTTTTCTATGAACAAAATTCCTAACCTGCAGCACTGTAGCTCTGCACTTAGCAAAATTGGGAGAACATGAACTGCTAGCAGTACTTTATTGCCGAACAAAATATTCTTCACTAGAAAAGTTCTGTGCAATCTCTGGATCTTTGCACATATACTTACCTGTAAAGGTATATGTTTTATCCTTATGGCAGTTCTTTTCAATCACATTATCAAGCAAACACCAGTTTGTCCAGTACCAAAATAGGTGTGATTAGTGGCTTTGACTGGAACAAGGACTTCTGAGTTGAAGTGACTGAGTTTGAAATAGAAGATTGAAAGGAAAACAAAACAAAATACTGAATTTCTTCAATTAGTGGAAGATGCAATATTATCTGGTAACAGATACTATATATATATATATATATTTTTAAAAGTACATTGTTTATCATTCAGCTATTACTTGAGAATCGAACAACCTGATGAGACATTTATTTTCAGTGCATTCTTTGAGTGCAACCTATTACTGTACATGCTCTAACCAGTGGCTTAGAAAGGTGATGCAGACTAGCCTCCACTTCATAAGATGCATGTCCATTCTGTTCAGTGGAACTCAGGATTACTGCAGTGCCAATGGAGTTACTCATCTATATGGCTTTCTACATCCTCCATTATGCATGCAGCAGTACTGTCTGTGTACCATATAGATTGTACATTATCGAGGAAAGATGGGAATGTATATTCAGACCATGCTTCCTCTATCCTGATCTTTTCATGTGGACAGGTAAAATCATAATGCAACTGTTATTGAATTACTGAATGTATCCATACAGCTTCACATAATCATGGTTATGAGATATAGCTATCAGCATAGTTCATTTTAGCCTATGCACTGGGAAGTTACCCTTTCAGGTTCAATTGGCCTGTTACCTTCTATCAACTCCAGCTGGTATCCCATGGCCAGAGATTTTTGGTCTAAAAATAATTGGAACATAATGAGGTTTATTGTTGTTATCTTGCTATGCTCAGTGTTCTTGATTTTTCATTCGTTTATTTACAAGAAGTTATTGTTGGTCACACAGTCAGCCAGATGTTTAGACTGGATTTGGCATTTTTACCCGCCTATCAAGTCCTTCCCAAGGACCTGAGATAGGCAGATGATGTTGTTTGATGGTGTTAAAAGTATCATTATTATTATTATTTGGCATCATGAGTTCCCTTAGTTGAACAAGTAGAACAAAGGGCAAGTATGCATTTCAAAATAAGTGAAATAGAAAATGGCACCTTCCCTAATCCACTTTTGCTTTTCATCCTCCTTCTTCCTACTTAGGCCAACTTTCTCAAATGTTTGCCAAATCTTCAAATACACTGACACTCCAGTTACTACAACATCTAGTTAGTGTAACCCACAGCTAGAAACATTAGATAGGGGAAGCTACTAAAATCTCTACCTGGTAGTTAGAAACTTTAGTTTGACCATCCAAATGGACACTTACTGTGTCTTTGCACCTCTTTTGATGAGTACTGATTCTGAGCAAAAAGCTGTCTTCACTTTCTCACGTGTTCCACATTCTGGAATGCAGCCAACTAAAGCCCTGTTTGGATGGCTCTGGTTATCTACTGTAATTAGATTAGTCATATGGACTGACGTGCTACCCATGTGATCTAAGCATTTGTTGTCTGTCATCTTGGCATGTAGGCCAGGAAGATCTGAAGCATTCTGATAGGATAATACAGGGATCAAGTTCTTGGCATCTTGATTTGATTGTTCCTGGTTGGTAACTGATGATGTATTAGGCCTTGATGTATTTTGTACTTGTACTTGGCTTTTGACATTGTTATCTGCATGATGACCATTCATGTGGAGTTTCTTCATATGATGGACCACAGCTGCAGCATTGAAGGCTTGCTAATAAAGGAGAAGATGAGATTTGTGAGAATTATGAATCTGTAGTTCTCTATAGAACCAGACTGATGAATGCTGAGCATGTTCATAAGTTGCTGTAGAACATTTACCTAAGGAGATATTGGAAGCAGACCTCAAGTTCTTGTGATCTCACTAGTACTCCATTCACTATAGGTAAAAAGTAGCAAGGAAACTTAGCTGGTGCTATATTTATCTGAACATGGTATGAATGTTTGAGAATGATATACAACAAAACAATGGTGGACAATCCATGGCGCACAAACTATAAGCAGCTCTGTACATTTTTTGGCCAACCCTTTAGAGACCTTTGAAATTTGACTGTAAGATACCAGTTTATGGCAATTCAAGTCTATATTTTAGTGTTGTTAAATAATTTGGAATCTACTCTGACATGGCACAGCAAAAATTTGCCACTAGTTCTCAAGAGTAAAAAAATGGGCTGAAAACTCCCTATGCCATCTGCTGATGTCGTCATAACATCATAATGCCCCTGATGCCTTTGGCAGTTGAAATACATTTTAAAAATTTGCAGCCTCAGCTACAAAATGTTGTCTGTCCCTGCAACAAAAGTTTACAAAAGAGCTTGGAATACATGCAGTGCAATTCTGTGCAAGGTTGTCTGAAAGCAAATGATACTATGTTGAATGGAGCTTACTTCCTAGTAAGTTCATTTAAGACTTACTTTATGTCTGTCTATCTATATCTGTCTGTCTATCTATATATCATCTATCTATCATCTATCTCTATCTATCTATCTGAGGCTGCCCAACTCCAAATGACTCTGGGTGGTTCATAATACACTAGACAAAAAAAATATGTAATAAGAACCAACATCCAAAAAAAAAAAAAAAATCTCTCCCCCCCCAAAACTTAAAAAGGAGAAAAGGAACAAGATAGTGAACCTGACAGATAACCCAAAACATCCCACTAATATCTAAGATCCAGTGAAGGGGTTTCAGTCACTCTAGCCCAAGGCCTGGGAGAACAGACAGGTCTTTATGGCCCTCTGGAATGCAAGCAGGGTAGGAGCCATCCAGAACTCACGGGAACCTCATTCCAGAGGGCAGGCATCACAATAGAGAAAGCGTACTCACTGGGTCCTGGTAGATGACATTGTTTCATTGAAGGAATCTGGAGTGCACTGACCCTGTCAGCTTGAATTGGCCAGACAGACACCACAGGAGATAGGCGGTCTCTCAGATAATGAGGCCCTATGCCAGGTAAGCCTTCCTAACCAGCACCTTCAATCATATCCAGAAGCAAACTGAAAACCAGTGCAGCTCACAGAGCAGAGGTACTGCATGGGCATGCTAGCTCCCTATACTACTGCCTTCTAGACCAGATGAAGCTTCTGCGTAGTCTTTGAGGGCTGCCTCATGCAGAACACGTTGCAATGGATAAGCTGCAACATGACTAGGGCATGAGGGACTTTCTGAAAGGCCTCCTTATCCTGGAAACAGTACAACTGATAAGCTGTGCAAAGGACTTCCTGGCCATAGCTGCCACCTTGTCGAGCAGGAACTGTGTGTCCGTAAAGAACCCCAGTTGTCCACCACCCTTAAACAGGGGAGTGCAACCCCATCCAAAGTCAGAGAGGGAATATCCCTGCAATAGATGGCCCTAATACCCGCCATGATGCTTGCTTCATCAGCACTCACCAGTTGAAACTCATCCTAAATCACATCACAAACCAGCTTCACCTCCACTAGACCTACCCAGAGTCCAAGTTAGGGTAGATCTGAGTGACTTTATTCACAGATAGCCAGATTATTCCTCACTCACTGCAGATGGTCCAGTGGCCTGTTCCTATACAATAGGGACCGAGTCATCCTGAACAGGGCTGCTAGATGGCTGTCAGTGGATGCCATAAAGACAGAGAAATATTGATGTTTCACTGCCCTTATTGCCCCAAAGTAATCCCTAAAATGGGTTATTACCCAAGTTTAGTTAGACTCACTCCAAGTCTTCCTCTAATTGTGTTCCATGTGTCTGTTCTGGTATGTCATCTCCCAGAATTCCTCATAAACCAAGATGCACCCTGAGATCAGCACACAGAGGGCACATAGGGGCCATGTAGTTCAAAGTCCCAGCCACCCCCATTCCTGTAGTCTAAATTATACAGTAAAGATCTCATAAATTTTCCCAAGGGAAAATTTTCCCTTCTATCTGCTACCCTTTATATATAAAATTACCAAATAATTCTGTATCTACTGAGGAAATTATTTTTATACTTTGTACCATATGAGAGACAAAACTCTATTAATCCCTTAGCTACCCAGGTAGAATTATTTTATGGGATTTTTGGACTGAGAGGTTCTGGTAGGTGAGCACCAGAGCATAAAATCCTGAGACAGCCACATCAAGTGACTTACCTTCCACTTGCTTTTTGCAAAATTTTTTTGGATCTGTACACTGACAGATGGATAGATGTCACAGTAGAGGGCAGTGTTTCCATCAATCCTGCAAATGAAGTAAGAGGAGAAACAGGCCTGTAGACAGATGGTGTTTGTGTGTGAGGCATTTTGCATTCTTGTAACTTTTAGCTGATTTTCTATGTACAAAGCGGTTTGGGTTTGCCTGAACAAGATACTTTGTGCTGCAGAGGCAATGCAGTTCTGGTTGAGCTGAAGAGACAATTTGATTGTACTTGATAAGGTGACTTGTGTCACCTTGAAGCCTTCACTTGCATGTGCTGTTGGAAGATAGAGGATGCCTCAAAAGTTAGGCAAAGTAAAATAAGTGGTTGCTTTGCTGTTAGAAGTTAGGGGAGGGGAAAGAGGCTGCCCTACTTTGTAAAACAGCATCTCTCAAACCATCGCTAAAGTGAGCCAACCCTTTGAAGCTTTACACAGTTCTAAGAACAGTCACTATGTCAGATGCAAGTTTCTTTCTAAAGTTTTTGATTTTGTATAGGCTGACTCTTCCTGAACTGTTTAATTTGGGCCAAGATCCTGAAGAAAATTATATTTCGATGTACCATAAGGTGGTTGCCTATGTTATTTAATATTTAATCCTGATGGATCTCCTTCTTAGCTTTTTGCAGAATCTCCTTAGTTCTGTGTCCATCCTTTGGTAACCTCAGAATATGTCAAAGCCCATTTTAACTTTCTACTTTCTATTTCACTTATCTCTTCAGTCATGAGTGAAGTCTGCCATCTTATTCATCTCGCTAAGATTCAGGGCAGTTTCTAACTTGAGAAGGTCTACTTTAACAGCCAGAAGCACTATTTACTATATATTAAAACTATACATTAGTTAACTGAACTATTACGGCTGCCCGCAATGAGTGGGAAATCATTGCTTACTGCCATGTTATCTTTTACGCAACAATAGCAAATGTAATTTTAATAAAGGCATATGATAGCTCCCTGTTCACATTGTCTTCCCTGTTGGTTCATTCAAACAAACATATAGGAGAAGACAATTATATTTTATGAACTACTGCTAATGCCATGTGAATACAATTACAAAATTTCTCACTATATCACAGAATTGCACTTTAAAAAAAAATGCAGTAACATTGTTCATCTCACCAGGGATGCCTGAGTGCTTTGTCACAGGTAAATCTCTTATTTGGATCCTTCTCCAATAAACGACAAATGAAATTTTTGGCTGTTAAAAAGGAATGAAGAGAGAAGGAAACAGAGAGAGGCTTTAGCACAAATGTCAGAAGCCACAACCAATCTACCATAGGATTCATTGTTCCATGTGTCCTATATGCTTCTGTGTGCCCATGCATATATTATTTATCCTTCCAGCCAGCATGGTTATCTATTAATAAATATTTTGAATTGTCAATTGAATATATAAATCAATTTCAATGAGTAATGTAGCACAACATTAATAATAAGGGTAAATGCATTTCACTTTGCATTTGGTTTTAGTAATAGGGATCAAACTGATGATATGCACCTCTAGCCAATATAAAAAGGTGTGAATGAGTTCCAAATCATGTGCTTATCATTAAAAACCTCTTTATCAAGTAGTAAGCAGTTCTAGACCTGGTTTCTTCTAAAAAGAGGGAGTACTTAAGGTTCATGGTATCTATTTATTTACAATTATTCAAGCAAAATCTATTCGAAGCAAGGAGAAATCTGTTAGCAACCAACAAATGATTAATTATGCTGCAGGTTCTGAAAGAGCATCTGCACCTTCAAAATGCTTCAGCATGATACAGTATCAGTGAAAATCTCCCACACGCTTGCAACAGCTTTTCTCCCTTGCTCAGCCACACACACACACACACACTCAAGGATGTCACCTATCAAAAACACAGCAGAGCAGTTTCCCGAAATCAGGGCAGTTTCCCGAAATCAATGAACACATACTTTTAAAAAATTGTTGACTACTCAACAGCTGCCTAATTATATACTCATCGGTAGTAGGAATCCAGAGAGGAAACATAATTCCAGCAGAGATTTTGCCAGGCTGAAAAATACCTGACTCAGAGATATCATCCCAAAATGGAGACTCAAATTCAAAATAGCCTTCTTTGATCTTTTCAAACAATTTGGACTCTGTTTCTTCATAGAAAGGAGGGTATCCACACAGGCTAAAGTAGATTGGAAAAAAGAGAGAAAAAGACAAATGACATATATTCCTTGACTGTGTAAATTCAAAAAGATTAATCAATAGATCAATATCTAATATGGGGCAATGCTACCTGTGAACAATACATAGCTCATTCTGGCTATTGTCCAATGTTATAAAAGAGGGTGAGAATTTCCAGGAGCTCATACTGGATGTCAGCTGCCAGTGGTAGAGGCGAGTTTTTAATATCCTACCCAAACATAATCATGCTCCAGAGAAGAAAAAACATTGGCTTTTGAATAAAATGTATGAAGACTGTATTGATGGTATTTTAGTACTAAGCTAGATTCAATGCTCATCACAAATTAGAATAAATCCTTGGAGCAGCGATCTTCAAACTAATGCCTTCCAGTTTTATTGGATTTTTCTCATCCAGGATGATCAATCTAGCTGGGGTTGATGGGAGTTGTAGTCAATGATGCACCTGAAAGCTCTCAGCCAGGGAAAGCTGACATCCTTACTAACTTCTGAAACCAAACCAAACCAAAAAAAAAGTCCAGCGCTCTTCCTTGAACCAAGAGGCACTTTCTCTTCAATTTTGCATCTTGATGTAGCTGGTATAACTAACTTGATTAGTTCATCAGATTAACACTGTTTATGACAGGCATCAGTGCATATGCCTGATGCACTCCCTGTTCACAGTTACTTAGCTTGTATAATTCTCTGCCAAGGTTATTTGAAAAGCAAGTGCTGTCACAATGCAGACATAAACAGAACAAAGAAATAACCATGGAGAATATCTATCTATCTATCTATCTATCTATCTATCTATCTATCTATCTATCTATCTATCCATCCATCCATCCATCCATCCATCCATCCATCCATCCATCCATAACATTTATAATATATTGGATTATAAATGAGATATAAACAAATTCATTTAGTTTACAATGAAGGAGCAATTTACAATAGAACCTTTTCATAGAAGGAAACCTTCCAAAATTCCTCTATTTGAAACCAGTTTTAAAAATCAACATAGGATGCAACAACCAGAACAATTATGACAAATAGGAACTGTAAACAGCTTTAACCAAAGACCTGAACAAATACAGTAGATAGATCTTCAGCTAGTATTGAAAGAGTGCAGGGCTAAATACTGAACATAACTGAATTGGGGTGGAGGGGAAGGGAGGATGAGGAATTCCACTGTTGGAATACATATACCAAGAATACCCTCTCTCAGGCTGTAGCATCTATACTGAATTGGTTCCAAGACACCACATAAGGCAGAAAATGCTCCAACAGATATCCAGGTCCTAAGCAGTATAAAACTTTATGGTTGAATCTGACTTGGCAGAAACAACCACTGTTGGTCTCAACATTTAGCAGCCAGCATTTTGCAGCAGCCACAGATTTAAAGGTAGACCTAATGGGACTAGCTTGCAATAGTCTAGTTTGAGATTACCAGCACATGGATTGCTCTGGCTGGACAATCCCCATCTGGAAGTATCCATAACTGGTAAGTCAAATGCAGGTGGAAAAGTTGTTTGTCTCCCACCCCCGCCCACCCTGCCGCCACCCCCAAGAGACCATATAAAACTTGTTACAAAAAAAACATGCAACAAAGTAGAAGATATTAATATGCAGTGAAGAGTAGTCATTATTTTCTTTTGGCTCTTAGTGGGCCACAAAGAACTAATGCTTTCTTTCTACTTTTTATCTGAGTTTAGCATGCTGTTACTAGACCTTTGTTAAGGTTTAAGACCGTTGAAGGACATTGGCAAGTTTGGTGTAATTCAGTTCACAGATTATCTTACAGGATGTAGGTAATAACTCCAATTGACCAGCAATCCACAGCTTTACTGTATGGCTTTTGTTCTAACACCTCTGGAGCTGCAGTGAACAAACAACAAAACCCAAATTACCAGTAATATAACCAACTGATCTCTTTAAAATTAACCAACTCTACATTAGCTCAAGATTTCTTTCAGGGTAGCAGGGCATAAAGGAAAGAAAAAATAGCATGCTTGACATAAGCAATGGCATAAGTTGCTTACTCTGGAAAGGCTGAGGAGGACAATATAGTGTGTGTATGTATGTATGTGTATGTATGTGTATGTATGTGTATGTATGTGTATGTGTGTGTGTGTGTGTGTGTGTGTGTGTGTATATATATATATATATATATATATATATATAAAGGCCAAAGTGGTCCCAGTAGTAGTAGGAGCACTCAGAGCTGTGACTCCTAAATTGGGAGAGTGGCTCCAACAGATCCCAGGAACAACATCCGAGCTCTCTGTCCAGAAGCGTGCAGTGTAGGAACAGCAAAGATACTGCGCAGAACCCTCAAACTCCCAGGCCTTTGGTAGAAGACCCAAGATTGAGGAAGACACATACCATCCATGGGGGTGAGAGGGGATATATATTAGGAAAATGTGATATTAGGGCAATGTGATATTTGTTCAAATTGTAATTTATTGAGATAGCCTTGTAGAGTTTCTTGATTTTCTTATGGATCCTGAGCAAGTTTTATTTTAATCAATGGTCCATATCATAGTTTTGATCCTACGGAGAACAACTGCAACTTATGCATATTTTTATAAAGCAGAATTTAATTGTAATCAGTGGGTATCAATAGATCTATATTGTCTAAACATGTGGAGTGAATGGGCTGCAGATCACTTGTGTTTAGCTTCTATGCATTAATTACAATGCTTGCAACAGTCCTCACATGTACAATTGTATATGAGAAGGAACATGAGTGTTTCTTTCATGATCTCTCCCAGTCACATGGAGAATTCCATTCTGTATATGCAGTTGTATGCAATGGGATTATGCCAAACATGGCTGATTTTTCCTTCCATTTAGTAGTTATGATTTCACTCCTTCTCTCCATATATTTATATACTGAGAACAATACACTGAGAATGGGGACATTGTCAACATTTTGTCTACAACCTAAAGACTCAGCTATTTTATTTTACATAACTGCTGTGCAGAGAGAAGAGTACATTTGAAAATGGCCAGACACTCAATATCCTACTTATGTTCACTCATATTCAGACAAATTTGCTAATAGAGATTATAGATATTGTCATTGCACATTATAGATATTGTCATTGCACATGATTATAGATATTGTCATTGCACAAATTATTTCCATTTTTGACTTCCAGGGAAGAAATGGAGAATTGAAAAGCTGGCAAGTAGATCGGCTCTTCATAATTCCTCTCTGGACAAGAAGAGGACCTGAGATTGCCCACAAATGCTCCAGACAGTTGCTCCCCCCAAAGGAGACCACAACACAGTGGCCTCTGGTGGGTTTAGACCTCTGGGAGATGAGGGAACAGCCATCTTGCTCAAATCGCAGTCAGTGCCTTTTAAAGGACAGTGGGTTTGCATACTTCCTTTTTAAATCACTTTCACTGCTTGTTAACTGCTTTTCAGCTATTAGGAGCCTTTGTATCAACAGGTTTTACAGCACTGGGTGAGTTTCCTTCAATCCTTAGAAAATAGTCTCAAATACAAGTTTAAGGACTTAATTATTTTTTTCTGGAATAAACAGCAAAAGAGTGATTAAAAGTTTGATTTTAGAAAGTTACAAATGCACTAAGGGTACAGATAAATTTGAAATAAGATTTTGGAATTAATTATAAAGAATTCTTCCTGTGGGAAAATGCTTTTGTTTTGAATTCTTTTTGTTTTTTGTTTTAAATAAGATAAGACTTGAAAAATTGTACACTAGAGGGAACCAGAAGGAACTAATGATTACAATTAAAGGAGAGGAACATTCAAACTTGACTTACTAATACAGAACTAAGTAAAATGTTTTAACACTGGACATATTGAAGGGTATTTTTGAATATTGGACCCAGAAGTTAATTTTAAAAGTGTTGACAGAGACATCTGCCTCTATGGAGACACTGTGTCCAAAAGATGTTATGGAAGAGAAACAAGGATTACCTGACATGATTGAGACTGATTTGAGTGGATTTAAGTGGATTTTAAAATGACAGGCTACAAGAATGCTGTGGAAAAAGATGTTACACTGGACATACAAAAGAAACCGGCTGATGTCTTAATAAATAAAAGGGATATACAAATAACAAACCAAGAGAACGACCTGAATAATTTTCCCATATTGGATTTACAAAAGAGGCTTGTTAAAGCTTTGAAGAATTTTGTGAGAAGGGACAAAG